ATACAAGCTATTTATAAAAATTTTCCCTAAATTTTAATAGTTACCAAAAAATTAATTATTTAATCCAGAATATTATTTTGATGGTAAACATATTTGCTATAACAATATAGGGGTGTACAAATGCACCGCTCAACCGTTATAATCGATTACCAATTCAATAACATTACAATAGATTATGTAGCTGATGATATTGCGTTCCAAATATGAGAAGTCATTAATAGTAGGCCAGACTGGCGAGATATTTACAAGGCCACAAATTTCATCTACCGACCGGCCAATGGTCCGGCAAACATGACGCACAGATATGTGTTTGATACTTGTTGCTAATGGCATTCGCTTCTGTTCTGTCAGTGTCCCCTGCGACCGAACTAAATTGTCTGTATGAAATTATATTCAGCAAGGGCAGGAGGAGAGGAGGGCCATGATCAGATTGTGTTTGCTATTAAAGCGAAACCTGGATTTCTATACGATACGCACATTTACGTGATTTCGTTAATGAATTTACGGGACTGGAACTTCACAAACTGGAATAGGCAATCTTCCTAGATGGATGGTACAGGAAGACTTGTGATGTTGTTTCAAATGCATATTACATAATTTTTATGTTGTAAATATGTTCGTTCTCGGAGAAGTCTATTGTATATGATACTATATCTACTCCGAGGAATAAAAAAATGTGTTCGAATATAAAATTAAACAATTCTCCTACTATATAAATATTATCGATAATACAATTTCTTCAGATTTCTGATTACAAAAATCGATGATATGTTTAACGAATCGAATATAAAATTTGTGCTACTTATTTTTTTATTATAAATATGAATAAATTTAGAGTTCTTCAAAATCATTTGTGCGCCATGTACGAGTACACCGCCTTATGGTAACATGGAGGCAGAAGGTCTAGTAGATCTTATCTAATTATTTCTTCTAGTACTAATTTCCATCTTTGTTTAAAATATATAAAAATAGTGGTGCCTGGCATCGTGCCTTAAGCTAAATTGCTGGAACTTCCAGTACCAAAAATTAAAATATTTTATAAATGATTTATTCTTCTTTTAAAACTCTGAAATAATCTATTTTTGAGATTTTTAAAATTTTTGAAAAGAATTGAATAATTGATTTTTTTCAAACTTAGAAATATTTTGGATTATTTGAACTTTTTCCAAAGCAATCGCGATATGTTAGTAGGTAAAACGAAATATCGAAGCGCGTGGGCGCCTCGTCGCAGTATAACGGATAAACATTGGACGGTCTCCATAGAAAAGTATACAAAATTTATTCTTTTTATTTAAATATCAAAAAATATATAATAATTTGATGTGTATATGTTTATTGATCATTTTTGTCCGCCAAATGGCTTTTTTCACTTTTTATATTGGATCTCCGAAACCGTTTGACTTGCTTTTCTAAAATTTCAGTTCATTTTTTAATTTTGTTCACACAAATGAAATGTTTTTTGAATAATACAAATCGGACGCTCCGTTCTCTCAAAAAATAATTTACCATGTTTAAAATTTTTTGCCCGGTATTTTCGAAACCCTTGTTCCTGAAATCGTCGACAAAACTTTGTATCCGCACACACACACATAAATTCATTTTTTCTAAGGTATGCCAAAACGTTCAGAAGACCTTAAAACGTGAAGATATGCAAAAAAAATATTTTCAATTTTTTTGCGATTACTATAAGTTACCCTACGAGAAGTAACGGTTATAAGAAAAGTTATAAGATATTTTTTTAAACCTACAACTCGTCCAATTCTATAAAATAGAATATGCAGTCTTCAAAAATATAGTGTTGATAACAATATTTGATATTATTTTATGCATATTTAATATTGTTATATATCTCTAATATCATAGATAATTCCATTTTTTTTTCAGTATATAAATCAATACATCTGACTAATTTGAATTGCTATTCAAATATAAAAGTAAATATACTACAACTGTTGAATTATGTAAATGAACACCAATCAGAGTCCAATATTTTCTTAATATTATTACTATTAAGTTCAAATTTGAAATTATTCAAGCGCCATATACACCGGTCATATAATAATATAGTAGAATATAGTATGTTTCAACAAAATATTTCTTCAAATACTTTGTCATAACTTTGTTTATTTTGTTTATTTATATTAAACATTTTAAATGAATTGATGGAACTGAAAATATGTAAAGGAAAATTATCAATTCTCCAGAATAGGTTATTTGTGATATTACTTCAGATTCATGGTTAACATTCTTTTCTCGTTCAAATATTAATTATTTTACTTACTCATGGTTAGTATTGTAAAAAAAAATAATGTCAATTTTTTTTTAAATATCAAAATTGATTGATATAATACATACATCTTATTCGTATTATAGATATTTATTTCTAAATTACCCGAGAAAATTCATTATTAGACTGATAAAAGCTTTCTCAACCTCATATTTGTAAAATATAATCACCAAATTTAATATTTATGAAAACACAAAACATCCTCATACAAAAATAATCAACATGATTTTTATGTGAAATTAAACCAAGACTGTTCATTATTAGCGTAGACAAATGGTAAATATCTGATAGCAAATATTTTATTTCTCGGACCTAATCAACGATATTTCTGTTCAATATTCAGGATCTTTAGGAGTCGCTTTTTGCATATTTTATCGGTGACTGCAGAAAAAACATTTGCATTCTTTTATATAAATGTAATAAATGCGAATTCCGTTAGATATATATTGATGGTGTTCCTACTTTTGAAATATGTTTGTAGAGCACGTCTGCGAAACATTATAAATGTGCAAAAGTAGACGATATCGGTTACTTATTCTGAAGCAAATAGTATAATTTTTTTTACTTCAAAGTTTTTTATATTAAAATTCATTTTTATGATTTCATTCATGAATTATTTCTTGCTATATTCAGACTATAATGTTAAAAGATGCAAAACTAAGTTGTTCATGGATTTGAATAAAATTCAAAGTATGTAGCTATGAAAATTATTAATAACGAAGGTTGTAATTTTCCTTAAGACAAGTGGCATGAACTTCTAGTGTGGAAATTATATAACTCAATCAATAAGAATTAAGATTTTGCTATTGGGCTAAAGGTTACATCTTTTTATTTGGTAAATAATGCCATTTTAAAAGAAAGATGTCTCAAACAACTTATAATATGTGTAATTATATCAATTATAGTTCAAAAACATATGTCCTGAAAGTACTCATATGTATGTGCTAAGAGCAAAGCCATTAGCAATGCCATTATTCCCAATTTTAATAAATTTATATAATTCAACCAATAATCTAGACTTTCAATATTTTATAGCGTTCATTGCATGAACTCTGTCTGCCTTGTTAAATTTCATTAAAATTAAAATTATTTTTCAATAGCATTTATTTGAAAAGAAACGGTGTGGCACATCTCTCCAAAAACTAATCATGACGATTACCAAATAATATCTTTCCAACGATTTTTCAATTTTCAACATTGGTACAGTATCTTTTAGCGAAAATGTGAGCTAAAATTTATGCCCTTTTTTTACTAACTTTAAAGAAACAGCTCGGCTGATCGTTTCGCAAAATGTAATCAAGGTGCCCTCCTTGTTTCATCGAATGTCTTTTAAGTTTTTGAAATCGGTTCAGCCGTTTTTGAGAAAATCACAATCAAATTTTGTTTCATCACAAAAGTGTCTTTTACACTTACTTGTTTATCTGTGGTGACTTTTGACAAAACACAACACATTTTTTACCTTCTCGTAGGGTTAGTTATAGTAATCGCAAAAAAATCGAAAACGAATATTTTTATATACCTTTGTTTCAAAACCTTTTGCACATTTTGGCATACATTATGTATATATTTGAATAATTCAAAAAACATTCGATTCCTATTGATAAGGAGACATGCTGATTGCTTTTTAGCAAAAGCAGGTGCAGCCTGCCTGCCAGTTTCTGAGATACGGGGCAAAAAGTGCCACAACTGATAATTCAATTTTTGAGAGAACAGAGGGTCCGATTTCAATAATTCAAAAAACGTATTACTGGTATTGACGAAATGAAGAATTTGTTACATTTCTGGAAAGTCAGGTATGGCGGCTTTGAAAATTCAGGGCCCGATTCTGCCGCATAACAGAAAAATGTTATGACAAGTTCATGTTATGGAGAACTTTCCATACTAATATTGACAAAAGCCATACGGTTGGTGTGCAGTCAGGCAAATTTCTCAGGTTGTCTGATAGAAAACATAACCTAAAAGCCGCACAAATGTCAAAAAAACTATTTTAGATAACAGTGTGTTTCTGATACAGCTCCATAACATACGAGAGATGTTGCAGTTTATTTGACAGTCAAAAATGATCAGTAGCCATATGTACAACAAATTATTTGACATTTTAGAAGAATTATAATAAAATACAAATTTGGTTTACACTTCTATAGGTTCTGTATCAAAAATTTATAATGTTCGATTTTTTTCAAAAACTTCAAAATTCTCAAAAATCAGTCATTAACAGAACTGTATAATCTATAGAGCTAAATAACACATAAAAAAGTAATAATCACAGAAAGAAATAGAGCAAAAAAGAAAAATAATAATAAATGAATGAATAAATATAAATAAAAATGAATTACAAATAAAGAAAAATAAATAAATAATAAAAAAACTAATTGTAGTCAATTGCTCTAATAAGCAAGTGACTATGGAAACTTACTTTTTGCATTGAGTTTTTTAGGCAGTTTTCTAGGCGGGTTATCAAGCAGATGAGCCATTCTTATATCAGAATAATTGTCAATTTTTGCATGATGTTTAGTACTATTATTTTTTAAGACATCCACCACAAAAGGGATGCTGAGGTCATGAGAAAATATGCTGATTGTGATAAAATTAATGCCATCATCCATTTAGTACATTATTATTTAATCTTTGCAACATTGTTCAATAATACTTTATATAAACTTCATAATACATTGTATACATTGTAAATCAAAATTCGCATTATCTTTTATAGTTTCTCGTACGGTATCCGGAGATACGCTGATACTCCACAATATCCAGCGCTCTGATATGGGCGCATATCTCTGCATAGCATCTAATGGTGTCCCGCCCTCCGTTAGCAAAAGATTCATTGTTCAGGTCCATTGTAAGTAGACGAATGGAATTTAGTTTTCTTAGTATAAAATTGAACTAAAATGTATAGATTCTGACTTTTACTATTTTTTCCAGTTCATCCTGCAATACGAGTTGCCAATCAATTAGTGGGCGCGCCAGCAGGAAGTGACGTCACTTTGCAGTGCCATGTAGAGCTTCGCCAAAAGCTATGAATAGCTGGTATAGGGATAGTGGAGATAAGGTAAGTTATTATAATTTGTATAAGTTAGCTTACTTCGTATTGTTTGATTACCACAGATGACGGAATATCGTTTAAAATTTGTGATTCGTTCCTTTTTTTAAAACTATTTTATAAATCAGAGTTAATTTAAACTAATGATGCATAGCATCGTGGCTTTAGGCACATTGTTGGAACTTTTCGTACTCTAAGTTAAATTTTAGCTAGTGGTGCGCATGGCATCCTGCCAAGGCTTCTCGTACCAAAAACTAAATAATAAAGAAAAACTTTATGACAAAATTTTGGCTTTTAAAAAATTCGATTTTTTATATATTTTGATTTTATGTTTCTTTTGATTTTTTTTGAAAATTTTGAACATTTTCTATGCAATCGCGCTGCATAGCTGATTTGGAGTCGAAATATCAAAGTCGTAGTCGTCAAACGTGAAAACATTGGTACGAAACCCATATAAATGTATACAAAATTTGCACTTATTATTATAATCTTTATAAAATATTTGATAATACGATATACATAAGTCTAATGTTCATTTTGACCGCCATATGACATTGTTTTTTTACTTTTTTTGTTGGATCTCCGGAGACGCTGGACCTATCTTTACAAAAATTTTACCAGTTGTTCTTTTTGTCAATACAAGTAAAATGTTTTTTAAATTATTTCAATCGTATCTCAAACACTAAAATACCATTTTTTGCATTTTTTGCCCCGTATCTCCAAAACGACCAGACCTGCCTTTTCCAAAAACTAATCAGCACGTCTCCTTATGAGTTGGAATCGAATATTTTCTCAATTATTCAAATCGGTTGATCCGTGTTTGCAAAATCGGCGACGAAAATTTGTATCCGCATACACACACATACAACTATTTTTTCTAAGATATGCCAAAATGTTCAAAAACCTCTCAAACGTAAGATGTAAAAATTTTTGAGTTTTTTTGCCATTACTATACCCTACGGGAAGTTGAAAATGCTTTAGAAATATTTGTAAACTTGGAAAAAATTAGAATTTTGAAATTTTTAAAAAAACATAATTTTTTTTAAAAAGAGTTCTTTAATCTTTCTTGCAAAGCATTTGCGCTCCATATCTGTTTTAGAGATAAAATATCAAAGCGCGTAAGTGCCGCGTTGTAATCAAACAGATAAAAATTTGTATAAAATCTGATAATTTGATATGCATATATCTAATGATCATGTTTGACCACCAAATATCATTTCTTTTTTTTTATTGGTTATCCGAAACTGCCTTTCCAAAAATTTAATCAGTTGTTCACTTTATTAATATAAATAAAATGCTTTTAGAATCATTATGTATATTGGAAACAATTTGACCTGCTTTTGTCAAAACCTAATTAGCACGTGTCTCTATCAATACGAATCGAATGTGTTTTGAATTATTCAAATCGGTTGAAGCCTGTTCATGAAATCGTTGATGAAAATTTGTATCCCCGTACACATATATGCACACATACATAAATCAATATTTTCTAAGGTATGTCATAACGTTTAAAATTCTTTTAAACGTATAGATATATAAAAAAAAATATTTTCGATTATTTTTTCGGTTATCAAAACATACTCTACGTGAAGTCAATTATTCATCTCAAACTTGTCAAATCATCTCAAACTAGTGTTTTTATTTCTTCTTTATGTAATTACTTAACAATATTCTTTATGTAGCTAAAGCTGTACGTTATAACTTTTTATTTGTTAAGATATCTCAATTAAGAAATTTCAAGTATTGGTTGGAGAAACGATAAAAATAAAGTGACAATTAGATAAAAACTTTGTACATTGATTTTTTGGTTTATGTAATTCTTACAATCTTCATCCTAATTAACTTAATTTTTATTTAGTATTTTTAATGATCAATACGAAAAGGCACGATGTCATGCACCACAGATTGCAAAAAATACATATAACTATTCATTTGTTAAGATATCTCAATTAAGAAATCTCAAGTATTGATTGGAGAAATGATAAAAATGCAGTGACCATTAGATGACAACTTAGTACATTGATTTTTTTGTTTATGTAATTCTTACAATCTTTATCTTAATAAACTTAATTTTTATTTAGTATTTTTATGGTACATACGAAAAGGCACGAAGACATGCATCACTAGTTAACTTCCCATAGGATAAGTTATAGTTTTAAAAAAAATATTTATATATTTTTAGGTTTAAAACTATTTGAACATTTTTGAAAATCTTACAATTATATAGAACAGGTTTGTGTATTCAGCGAAAATGCTTTGAAATAAAGTTCAAAATTTTAGAAGTAATTCAAAACATAAGAACAAATTACAAAAAATGACAATCTTTTTAAAATTTCAAAACTTTCGAAAATCTAAATTTTTCAAAGTTAAAAAAGTTTTTTTTTTAATTATAATTTTTGCTACGGGAAGTTCTTTTCCATAAGGCACAATACCATTCACCACTACTTTAATCAAATGTTTTATAGTCTAGTGATTTAAGCTTAAATTAAGTAAGAATCTCGGAATTCAAGATATTCAGCTGAAAGTCTGTAAATACTTGTATATTGACACCCGAAGTTGTCTCAAAACCTACATATGGTATTGACACCCTCCCATATGTAGGTTTTGAGACAACTTTAGGGTGTCAATATACAGGTATTTACAGACTTACAGCTGGGTATCCCGAATTCTGAGGTTTAATGACTGAACTATTAAAACAATTTATGTAAAGAGCATTACAATTATAAGAACGTTGCAACAAGTATTTGATATATAATTATTATTACTCTTTTACGCAAAATCTAATTTTACTCTTATCATTTCTCCACTAATGGTATCAATTTTTTCAACCAATTTTCAGATTTTGCCATCAAGTAAGCACATGGTGCAGGAAACTCGTACTGGTGACTACATGTCAGTTTTGACTCTGACAGTTCGTGAACTGCGTGCTCAGGACTTCGGAGGTTACATTTGTGCCAGTGTTAACGCTCTGGGAAAAGCCGAGGGTGGCATCAGGCTTCAAGGTTTGATATCCCTTCAAAATCTATATAATAGAATTCAGGAATACAATTACATCAGATATACGTTTTATATAATTTGCTTTTACTTAAAAATAATTTGCTTTTATAGATAATATTTAATTTTTAAATCAATCGGTATATCTTTTCATTCTATCAGCATAATAGAGCGTGTATTTAAAAGCGAAGTCAAACTATTACTTTTTCAAATATTTATTCATGACTGAAGCGTGCGGTTAAATATTGACGTAAACGATTTTTTTATATTATGTACGGTTTATCATTTCCGATATGTAATTGCTTCCGAAAGAAATATTTGAACGAATAATTTCATATATTACAGTTTCAGTACATCGAATAGTTATATTTCGATATAAAATTACTACATTTTTTGTGATCTTTTAACTTCCCGAAGGAGAAGTTTATATTTTCAACAAAAAAAAAACGATTCGCTTTTTCAAAAAATTTTATGTTTTGTCGACGTTTCATCCATTCTGAACCAAATGAGATCAAATTTGAAACAGTATGTATGTGTGTGTGGACAGATTTTTTACATTAAAGCGACGTTTCCTCAAAAACGGCTGGGCCAATTGCAATAATGTAAAAGCCATTCGATATACCTCAATGAGGACTATCGATTGTCAGTTTTGCGCGACGATCGGCCAAGCCGTTTCTTTGTAAATATCAGAAATGTGAAAAAAATGTCCACGTTTTAGCATACAATCCTGAATCGATTATGAAAATTTAAAAACCGTTCGAAAGGTATTGGTTGGGAATCGTGCTGATGAGTTTTTGGTAAATATTTGCTGGCACAATTTCTTATAATTAACTGTTTAATTAATTTTTTTGTCAATTTTGATGTTTTTTTTTGACAGTAGATACTAGGGTTTATACAAAAACCGACATTTCAGAAAACCGGTTTTCGAATTTTAATTTTACTAAAAAACTGGTTTTAACCGGTTTTCAAATTTTAGAGCAGTATTTGACTGAATTTATTCATTGTTCAATTTTATAGATAGCAAACAGAATAATTTTTATTTTAATTAGTAGAACTAAAAAATAATAGTGTATCTTGATTAAATAACTTTGAAAATAATTATTCGTTATTCATGTATCATTTTCACATATAAGGATGAAAATATTTTTATGATAGTGAAAGGAAAGTTTTCGAAAAAATAAAAATAATACATTTTCAAACAAAAAAACTCATTGAATTAAGTAAAAAATAAAAGAAATATTAGATACATGTTGATACATACTTGTTAATATCAATTTTAGTTTTAAAAACAATTAAGCTAAACTCGGGTATTGTCTGTTCCGAGCAATTTTAATTAATTAATTTTAAACATTCTAATTGTTTTTTTTTGTTTAATAAAATATGATTTTAAAAAACTGAGAACGTTTATTGAATTGCTACTTAGACGTGTCCTTTTTTTACTCACAAAATTTCCTGGAATAGAAAATACTCTCATACTTGTGACCAAATTATGCTTAATTGTTTTTAAAGCCTGATATAATAATTCTAAGCTTTTTGTTTTTTGTGGCTTCTAGGGTTTAAAACTCTTTTTTTAAATTTGAGTAGAGGAAGTTACTTCTTCAAGAAGAAGTCACACTGATTTAAATTTATATATACACTGGTATAAAAATCTAAATTAATATATACGAACCATTGCAGATTGATAAGATATGAAATGCTATAGAACCGATATGATTTCAAGAATCAAAACGCTTTCATCTATCTTTTTATTTGATTATATTTATCATTTTCTATATATACAGTAAAAACCGATTTTTTACACTAAA